ACATTATAAGCATTCCACTTCGTGTTCCTTGCTGCATCTTTGAATATTATGCAAATCTCATTCCACTTTTATCAATTTGAGAAAGTTACTCAACAATCTAAAAATTCCGTTAAAAATTACATACATCTGTATCACTCTAAAATCCTCTTATTGAAATTTACTAAACTGCTGTAACTTTCATCATAAATAGACAATATTAATATTCATAACAAGAGTTACTGGCAGTTGAGAGTGGGAAATCTTAAATGTATATGAAGATTTCCGTCTTCTGGGTTGTTGCGCTGTGTAGTCTGGTTGATGTTAACCAACGTTTCAGAGGTCATACTGCCTCCGTCATCAGGGTGATGATGTATATGTTTTGACCACAGAATTTATGCTGAATCTCATGACTTCAATGAGGTGTTTTAATGGTAGTGAAAATGTGAATGTTCATAATTGTCTACAAAATTACACAGCATCACATATCACAAGTCCCAAGAGCTATGCTGGCGGTAGCATAGCTACTGGTAGGGCCTCTCTAGCCAGACTGGTCGAGGGAAAAGAGGTCAGACTAAGACAGGTACCCTGGTCCTCCAGGTTGGGGGGTTGGTCGCAAGGCTAACAACCTTGCACTGTAAAAAGGAAGATGTTTTGAAATCTCAATCAAAACCTCGGACAGACGGACCCAACAGAGGACCGAATGTAAGAGGAGAATTGATGAGGCCATGGACCAAATACGGACCGGAGAGCCATAGAAGAAGAAGAAGAACAACAACAACAACAAATCACAAGACCACAATGCTCAAGTTGTTCACCACTTGTCTTTCTCCTAAATAAAATATTGTTCTGTACTCACATGATGTACAACATGAGAAAAATATATTCAAACATTTCCAGATATTAAACAATATTTACATTCACCAACTGCAAATAAGGAAATGTAAAATGTACAAAACACATCTGAGGGACAAATATAAATTGATAAGAGAATAAACCATAAATTAATTCCTGAACCCACAACACAATTACTAAGCAAAAAGTCATTCACTATAACAATACATTCTGTCTCTATGTTCTGAACAAATGTGGCAGTGCCATTCTTAATTTCTCCAATAATAAAATTCCCATATATTTTAATTTGTGTTCAAACATATTTGAAATATCCAGCTACTTTCATGGGTATACCAAATTCAATAAGAATGTTGGAAATACTTCACTGGTAATTATTATAATTAGCCAATGCCTCAATGTAACTTAATCCAACAGTATGATCTTAATGATTCTGAAATATTATTAAAGAACTTCCAAACAATTTTCAAGTTGACCAATCTACAAATCTAAGGTAATTGAAGGAATTAAAGTAGAGACTTCATTCCAATAATGGGTCTGTTTCTTTGTTATACATATTTACTCACTTTATTTACATATCCATTTCTTACATTTATCTGAAATCAGTTTAAAACATACTGAAAGAGACCTCTCACACCTTCTTTTCATATCACTTATGTCAAATCTTCCCCACATCCTCTTTAAGTGTGACAGTACGATTGAACACCATCTAAAAAAAATCAAAGAAATCTTTATATCACATGCCTCCATGTCAGCATGTAAAGAGCTATTAGAGCTTACAACTTACAACCTATCTGGCATTGTGAAAAAATCATTCACAGCACCCACACTGGCCAGAGGAAAATACCTTCAACCACAAGAGTATTAAAATAATTTCAGTAAATTCTACACCATAGCAATAACTGTAAAATGAATCAAATTAAGGAACAACCAACTCCTGTGTGATTTGGGGGGGGGGGGGGGGGT